AAGAAAGAAAGAAAGAAAGAAAGAAAGAAAGAAAGAAAGAAAGAAAGAAAGAAAGAAAGAAAGAAAGAAAGAAAGGAAGGAAGAAAGAAAGGAAGAAAGAAAGTGTAAGGTAGCACCAGGGAGAAGGTCCCATCTTGCCCCCTCCAGAGCAGGCTGCCATCACGCCAGGGCGTGGGCTGCATCCCCACCTACTCCTCGGCTGAGCCACGGCTGGAAGCAGAGGTGGCTTCAGGGGGCGGGTGCTGGCTAAGAGGAGGGTTAGGGTAGAGCAGATGCCTTCAATGTGCCCAGATGGGGAGCCACCAAAGCATATGGCCTCATTGGGATCCACATGGAGGGGAGGGGACGTGAAAACTGAATATTCAGGGCTGGTGGCTCGCTGTTCACGGAGCTTGTCTCCACGGCATGGAGGGGAAACTGAGGCACGAGGCCTCCAGTTAGGACTGGCCCTTTCACCTTAGAGAAGGTCCTCTGCCTCCACCCTCCTTTCACAGAGGGGGCTGCTTAGGACAGGCCCTCACTTAGAGATGTTGAAGTGTGCAGGAAAAGCCCTGTGCACCTTGGCTCGCTCTGCCTCCGCAGCTGTGGCCACGTAGAACTCTCCCACGCACGGGCTGCTTTGATCTGCAGCACACCGGAGACCAGCGACTGTCAGCACAGAAATCCCACACGCTCTGCGGGTTTCCCCAGCTGGAAGGCGCTGCTCGGGCGGGCTGGAGCCCTACAACACCAGGATCTCCTCTCCCTCCATAGCTTGATTCACCACCAAACAGACACCCCTCACTTGCAGGCCAGCACGCACCTCCCTCTGCACCCTCCCTGGGAGAGGCTCCCCCAAGCAGCCCTTCCAGGCACTGCAGCGTTCTCCAGCCTCCTTTAGCCAAAGGTGCAGCTCTGAGCTCAGCCCCACAGTGGCTGCGGGAGGCTCTGCTCCTGCCAACAGGGAGCTGGGCTACCAGAAGGCCGTCCAACCACACCCTAGGGGCCTGGGGCTCCCCAGATCCCTTATGTGGGACCCAAAAGGAAGAAAGAGGCACTTAGTCAAGAAGTTATGTATTTCCTATGCTGAGCATTATTGTTTTCCTGGACTTGGAGGAGTGACGAAGAGGCTCGTGGTCCCAGGACCTGAAGATCTCTGAGATCCTTTCTGGTCTAGGTGCTCAGCTCTTGGATACTGGCAGGTGGCGATGTGGAGTCAGGCTAGCAGAGAAGTGCAGGGCCACTGGACCAGCTGGGAGACCTGGAGGAAGATGGTTAGGGGAGGACTAACAGCTGAGGGCCCATGGGAGGACAGCAGAGGGAACCAGACCCCACCCCCTGAAAGGCAGGGCACAGAGGCCCCAAGAAAGGCAGGGAGGAACCAGCAGTTAACGTAATGGCTATGTCGCTGGACTCCCACGTAGTCGACTGCAGTTCGAGTCCCGGATCTGGTGGCTTAAACTCACGCCAGGTGCGTGTGTGTGCGCGCCCAAGATCCCGAGAGGAGAATGGAGGAGAAGGGATTGCGGTGTGGCCATCCACCCTGGGGG